CCGGGTTTGATTCCCAGCACCCACATGGTGGCTACGAACCGTCCTTAACTCTGGCTCCAGGGGAATCAGAAGCCCTCTTCTAACCTTCGCAGCATTGCAGAACACGGGTGCATCACATACATGCAGGCAATACACTCATACACATAATATATATATATATGGCTGAAGCAGAAGGCTCAAAATTTCAAGGCCAGCCTGGGCTACACAGGGAGACTTCGTCTCATAAAAACAAAACAAAACCTGTCTTGGATTCAGCGTCATGGAGGCCCAAAGGCTAGAGGTACAGCAGCCTTTGAGGACACTTGGCTGAACCATGGAGCTGTCAGGCCAAGTCCCGTGGGAGCCACAACATCCAGAGTCATGATCTCCAACAACAGGCCTGTCAGGCCCAGGACCAGGCTTCAGAGAGAACCCAGGTCTGCAAGGACAAAGGTCTTACTGTGGCAACAACAGGGGCAAAGTCCAGACACACCTCAGGCCCCCCAGCAAGTACTGCTGAGCCCTGATCTGACCTGAGAGGTGCAAGGTAGCCTTTGGGCAAGCAAAATCACAGCACCTCAGAGCATCCCTTGGTTTGGGGCCCTCCACCATGAGTCTTCAGTGCAATACCATTATCTCCTCTCTGGCCTTCTTACCCCATGCTGTCCCCCAAAGTCCAGTCTCCCCTCAGTGACCAGAATGAATCTCACAAAGCATTCACTGTTTAAAACCCCTTGGTTGGGGGCTGGAGAGCTGGCTCAGCAGATAAGAGCACTGGCTGCTCTTGCAGAGGTCCAGGGTTCAGTTCCCAGCACCTACATGGCAGCTAACAACCATCCATAACTCTAGTTCCAGGGGATCTGATGCCTTCTTCTGACCTCTTTGGGCATTGCATGACATGGGCGCATTTGCATACATGCAGGCAATACATTCATGCACATAAAACAAAATAAAAATGATAAATAAAATATTTTTTTTAAATCAGTTTTATTTTATCTGTGTGCGTGTATTGCCTATATGTAGGTAAGTGCATCCGTGTAGTGCAATGCCAGTGGAAGACAGAAGAGGCTGTTGAATCCCCAGGAACTGGAGTTACAGACAGTTGTTAGCTGCCATGTAGGTGCTGGGATTTGAACCTGG